ATTCATGAAGGAGGTGGCATTTTAGCTGGTTCTTGGAATCTTGTCCATTCTTTTGCAGGTGAAGATGGAGAGAAGGCATCTCAGGTAGAAAGAATAGCTAGACAGCTAGACAAACAGAAAGAAGGAAGAAAAAAAGGAAGAGACCAGGAAAAAGCATCTTCACTCAATTATTGTGTTCCACATTCTGTAGCAAGTAGAGTAATACAAGATGCAATATGAATAAAGTGAGAAAGCACAGGGAATGTTTATATTACTCAATAACTTGCCATTGGCCACAAGTTTGGCTGCTGCATGAAATACATAGGGTAATGGCTGGAAAGATGGAGAGAAGTGAATAAGTCCCAACTCTTCTAAATGAGACCATATTGTGAAGTGCACCTCGAACTGAAGACAAGTGTGTGATCAGACCCAGGCATAGTACAGGATAATTTTTCACTTTTTGTTTTCTACACACTATACCTTTCATAATGCATCTTAAGTCAGCATTAGTCTTATGTCAGGCCGTGGCTGATTTATACTGAGCTTGCAATCCACTAAAATTCTTTGGATCTTTCTCATATAAAGGATTTTTAAAAACATTATTGCAACAGTACAGGATGTAGGAGGCATGGTTAGGCAATAAAGTATAAACTTCTACATTTATTCTTATTAAATGTTATTTTTAAAGTATTTGACCCATTGTTCTAGCCTATTAATATCTTTTGGGATCCTGACTATGCCATCAAACATGTTCACTACTACTTGTAGTTTCATATAATTTGATAATTTGATAGACATGATATCTATACTCCTATCAAAGGTATTGACATTTCAATCAAAGATTATAGGTACAGCTAAGGAGAAAGTCCTTGAGCACTTTGCTAGAGAATGTCTTCCAAGTAGACATTAAACCACTGGTAACCACTTTTTGGATCCAGTCATTCAAGAAGTTCCAAAACCATATAACTGTACTATCACCCAGCCCACATTTCTTCCTCTTCTACAAAGTACTAGAGGATCATAGATTTAGACGTAGAAGAGACCTGAGAGGCCACCTAGTACAACTAGATGAGGCAATTGAGGCAAGAAATAATCAATGACCTAAGGTCATGTAAGTAAAAGACAGAGGTGTGATTTGAACTCAGATCCTTTTACTTCAAATCTTGTGCTTTTTCCACTGAACCATTCCACGAGAGACCATGTCAAATACTTTGCTAAAATCTAGGTAAACAATACTTAAAACATTCCACAATTCACCAGTCTGACAAAGAAGGAAATTAGGTTAGTCTGCCATGATCTGTTCTTGATAAAGCCATGTTTGCTTTTTCACTATTTTTCTCAAGGTCCACTAACCAAACCTTTAATTATATATCCTAGATTTTTACCAAAAATCAGTCTAGCCTAGTATCTGATAGTTTAAAGACCTCATTCCCTTCCACTATAAAAAAAAAAAGTAAGACATTTATATCTTTCCTTTTTCCCATCATTTTTTTCAAAGATCAGCAAGAGTGGCATAGCAGTTATAATTGCCAGATTGCTCAGTATGCCTGGGATCTTCATTGAAACCTGGTGACCAATTAATTGAAGGTAGCTCTCTCGACATTTCATGTATTTTGGTTTTCAACTCCTTATTAACCATTTTTATTCTATATCTTCAAGTTCAGAAACTATCCTTAGTAGAAAACAAAACAGAAGAAAAGTAGGAGTTGAATGGTTCTACCTTATCTCCATTGTCTTGTAACAATCATCTTATCCGCTCTGAGCAGTGCTTCTCTACCTTCTTTAATCTTCCTTTTGAACCCTAAACAGTCCTCTTGTTGTCCTCTGTATTCATTACTAGCCTTAGCTCATCCTGAATTTAACATTCCTGATCATTGTTTTTGCATATCAGGTTCTTTTAAAATGTATTAGTATCACCTGTTTTTATATCACCTTCATTTCTAAAACCATCTTTGCCTTTCTCTATGCAGAGAGCTTCCTCTTATAACTAATAATAATAATAATAGCAGTTTAATAAAACTAAGCAACCTATTAAGCAAGGTTGACAGCATATAAAATGTTCCCCACCCATAGTCCCTCACTTCTGAAAAAACAAAAAGGAGGCAGGTGCATTTTTTCAATTATCCTAAGGGGTCAAGTTTGATCAATATAATTATATAACATTCAAGTTTGGTTTTTGTTATTGTTCTTTCCATTTACATTATTGTAGTCTTTTTACATATTATTTTCTGGTTCTGCTAATTTTGCTTTGCATCACTTCTTATAAGTCTAAGTTTTGCTATGTTCTTTGTATTATTTGAGCTTTTTAATTAAATTTTAATGAACAGAAATCTATTTTCTCTCCTTACCACTCCTACCCCCTTGGAGGAAAAAAAAGAAAAGTAAAATTCTTGAAAGAAATTTATATAACAAATTTCCTCCTTCACTGTGTCCAAAAATATGTCTTATTCTGCATCCTGAGCCTATCACCTGTCTCACAAGGAGGAGAACAAGTTCAGTTTAATTCAATAAACATTTATTAAGCACTTACTACGTGTCAAGTATTGTGTTAAACACTGGGGATGCAAATAAGAAAAAGAAATACACTCCCTGCCCTCATGGAGCTTCAAGTCTAATGGTTCATAACAGCATGCTTCATCATCAGTCTTCTGGAGTCATGCATGGTCATTATGTTGATCAGAATTCTTATAGCTTTCAAAACTTGTTTTTGTAAAACTTTTTTTTCAGTAGTGTTGATATTATAGTATTGTGTTTCTAGTTCTGTTCATTTTACTCTGCAGCAGTTAAACCAATCTTCTTATATCTCTCTGATATAATCTATTTCCTCATTTCTTATCACAATATTATTCTATCACAATAGTATTCTATTGCCTTCATATTTTTTATCCAGCTTTATCCAGTTTATTCAGCCATTCCCCATCTGATGAGCAACCTTTAGTTTCCAGTTTTTTGCCAACACAAATAGAGCTTCTATAAATACTGCTGTACATGTAGGATCTTTTCCTTTGATTTCTTTGGGGCTATAGGCCTGAGTAGAGGTACGGCTGGGTCTAAGGGTATGGGCAAGAAGTGAAAAGTTTAGTAACTTTTTGTGTATAATTCCAAATTGCTTTCTAGAATGGTTGGATCCATTCACAGTTCCACCAATAGCGCATTAATGTGCCTGTTTTGAGCAGCCCTTCCAACATTTGTCATTTTTTTTTTGTTGTCTTTACCAATGTGATGGCTGTCAGTTGTAAACTCAGGATGGTTTTAATTTGTATTTTTCTAATTATAAGTGATTTGGAGAATTTCTCCAAATATCTATCTGTCTGTCTGTTTTTATATCACCTGGGTGTCATTCCTTGAGCGCTGCCTATTTGTATCTTTGACCATTTATCAATTGGAGATTGGCTTTTATTCTTATGAATAAATGAAATGAAACCTTTACCAGAGAAATTTGGGGCAAAGATTTCCCCCTCCAAGTGATTGTTTCCTTTTTAATCTTAGTTTTAGTGGATTTGTTTATAAAACCTTTTAAATATAATTTATGCAACCGAATTATGCAAATCAAAATGTGCAACCAAAATATGCAACCAAAACTAACATTTATATAGTGCTTACTGTGTTTCAGGCATTATGCTAAGCACTTTACAATTATTATCTCATTTGATCCTCACAACAATTGAAGGTAAATGCTATTATTATCTTCATTTTACAGAAACAAAAACTGAGGCAAAAAGAGGTTAAGTAGCTTGTCCAGTCACACAGTTAGTGATTGTTTGAGGCCAGATTTAAACTCAGGTCTTCTCACTTCAGATGTGATACTCTACCACCTAGCTATCCCCAAAATTATCCGTTTTATCCTCCATGATCCTTTCTATGCCTTGTCTACTAATGAACTTTTCCTCCAACTATGGATAGATTTCATATGGTGTAGTGATGTTCCATTACTTTCATGTACCATAACATGTTTAGTTATTCGTGAATGGATAACTACTTTGTTTCCAGTTCTTTGCTACAACAAAAAAAAAGTGCTGCTATAAATATTTTGGTGTATATAGAATCTCCCTCTCTCTCTAGCTGGTCTATGATTCTATGAAAGGTGGGATTTGAGGTCAATATTTCCCATAATGTTATTAGGTTGCATATTATGTTTGTGATGTTTTGTGAATTTCTTGTCTATTTCCTCCTTCTGTTATTAATTCTAATATCATTCTCATGACTACATCACTTCTGTTGTTTCCCTTATTGGATCCTCATTCACATTTTCTTAGAGGTGATAAAGGAAAAGTCATTTTTATGGGGAGAGTATACTCAGGATCAAGATCAATTAGGAGACTGGTGCAATAATTCAAATATGAAGCAATGAGAGTAGTGGAATTGGCCATGGAGAAGGGAACATCTAAGAAGAAAGCTATCAGGAATCAATAGACAGGAAGAGATCGACTTCAAATCAGATTAAGCGGTTTTATTTGTTTGTTGGTTTGTTTGTTTTTCAAAGACTCATCTTCATGGGAACGTGAATAGTTTTCAGGTTCAATAGCCAGGCTCAAAACTTGGAAAGAACTTAACTGCTCAGAAAAGTTTTCACAGCAAGAGTCACGTAAATAAGAGAGCTGATACCTTTTATTGGAGTCTGTCTAAATTTCGTGTCCCTTGGTTCTTTCTTTGCCACGTACTTACTTAGGAAACGTCCTCCATTAAAAGCCTCTTTGGATGCCTCCTCTTGGCATGAAGATAATCTGGTCTCTTGGAGGCTACGCCAGCAAAGAATGAGATAGGTGCCTGGTGAGGGACTGTAGGCCATTTGTCCATACAAAAATGTAGGTGAGTTAGAAGAAACCTATCATCAGAAGGTTGGTCATCAGGTGTTCAATATTTCCAGACACAGCTAGTCAGTCAATATTCAACAAGCATTTATTTAAGCACTTATTGTGTGGCAAGAGCTGGGAATAAAAAATAGAAGTAAGAAGAAAGACAGTTGCTGCCTTCAAGGAACCTACACTCTAATGGAGGAAGAAGATAACTCATAAAAAGAAGCTGAAAAGGGGAAAGAGACACAAAGGCTGTCTCCTAATGCATAAATGTTTTGTGTGACATTTGCATTAGTGCATACAGATTAAATTTTGAATCCTGGAAGTATTGATATATAGGAAAGTAATTAGGTCTGCTACAGAAAAGAAAAACATCATGCCTGCCTTATATTTGTCTCTGTGTACAGAAGATTTGTTTATTCTCTGTATCAAATGATCCCCCCCTATTTTTTATTGTAGCATCTGCCAGCCTACTCTGTATGAAAGCAAGACTCAACAATCTGCAGTTTTTGGAGGAGAAAACTCCACTGGGGTGGGGGGCACACATGAGTGGGTCCCCCCACCCCCACCATGTTCCCTTCTCAAAATGCCTGCTCCACCCCCACCTCTTTCCTGCTGACTGGCATCCCTGGGCTGGAACCCTTGCACATCTGGCTATCCATCCCCTTTGGCTCCATGTATTTGGTAGCTGTGGTGGGGAACATGACCATCCTAGCAGTGGTGAAAGTGGAACACAGCCTGCACCAACCCATGTACCTCTTCCTATGCATGTTGGCTGTCATTGACCTGATCCTCTCCACCTCCACTATGCCCAAGCTGCTGGGTATCTTCTGGTTTGATGACCGTGACATTGGACTGGATGCTTGCCTGACCCAGATGTTTGTCATTCATTGCTTTGCCACTGTTGAGTCAGGCATTTTCCTGGCCATGGCTTTTGACCGCTATGTGGCCATCTGTGACCCACTGCGCCATACCACTGTGCTCACTCATGGCATGGTGGGCCGCATGGGACTGGCTGCTCTTTTGCGGGGGGTACTCTACATTAGCCCCTTGCCTCTAATGGTCCGTCTGAGACTCCCTCATTATCGAGCCCGGATTATTGCCCATTCCTATTGTGAGCATATGGCAGTGGTGACCCTGGCATGTGGTGACACAAAAGTCAACAACCTTTATGGCTTGAGCATTGGCTTCTTTGTTCTCACCTTGGACTCACTGGCTATTGCAGCCTCCTATGTGATGATTTTCCGGGCTGTGATAGGACTGTCCACCCCAGAGGCCAAGCTCAAGACCCTGGGGACATGTGGGTCCCATATCTGTGCCATTTTGATCTTCTATATCCCTATTGTAGTCTCTTCCCTTATCCATCGCTTTGGTCATCATGTGCCCCCCCATATTCATATCCTGCTGGCCAGTTTCTACCTCCTCATCCCACCCATCCTCAACCCCATTGTCTATGCTGTCCGTACTAAGCAAATTCGTGAGAGGCTTCTACAAATCCTTAAGGCAAGAGTTCATTCCAGGTGATTATTCTAATAATAGAATGCATAGGAATAAGATCATATTTTGAGTGCATTCTCCAACAGGAAATTTGGAGATGTAATGCCCTTCCTTTTGACAAAATGTTTAATTATCGTAATCCTTTTGTTGTTGTTCAGTCCTGTCTGACTCTTCATGATTCCATTTGGGGTTTTCTTGGCAAAGATAGTGGAGAGGTTTGGCATTTCGTTCTCCAGCTCATTTTACAGATGAGGAACTGAGGCAAACAGAGAGAAGTAACTTGCTCAGGGTTACAAAGCTAGTAAGCATCTGAGGCTGGATTTGTATTCAGGAAGATGAGTCTTCCTAACTTCAGGCCTAGCACTCTATTCAGTGAGCCACCTAGCTGCTTTTACCCTAAGCTATTTTTGAGAGTTCTAAACACTTTGAAGGTGCTTTGCAAAGGAACTTGTAACAACTTTGTCATGTAGATAGTGAATTAACCCCCTTGAGTCCCCTTGGGACTCAATTTCCTCATTATCATCTCTGTTAATGCTTTTTGCCTCATTGTACAATTTTATGATTTGCCCAAGACCACGTGAGCTCTGGAGCTAGTGATTAATAGTACCAGATTGCAAATCTACATCTTCAGGCTTCACATTCTGTGTTCTTTCCACTAACCACCTGATTTTAACCCTTAGAGAGATGACCAGATGTAAGATGAGCTATGAGTACAAGGCATCACTGAAGGTCTTCAAATGAAGACTGGATATTGATTTGTTGGGGATGCTATGAAGGGAATTTGAATTCAGGTATAGGTTGGACTAGATGCTCTCTGAGTTCCCTTCCTGCTCTGAGATTCTGTGATCTTAAAATATTGGGAGCGTATTTGGAGCTTAGAGTAGGTAATGTGGACTCATCTTGACAGCCCAAGTATCACTTTCCCCATCTAAAACTTTCAGGCAAAATCTTTGCATTTTAGATATCTTAAAGCTTGGAATGCTTTGTCTCTCTATAATTAATGTATCACAATCCTATTTTTAAAAGGCAATTCCTTAGTTTGCAGATTTAATGCTAAATATTTGTATGTTCAGTACATTACTTCATCATTTCTGTCAAGTTCATTTGGTCCCTATATCAGTCAGCAGTGGCATGGCGGATAGATAGCTGAACTCAGAGTCAGGAAGACCTCAGTTCATAGCTTACCTCAAACTCTTAGTAGTTGTGAGGCCTTGGACAAATCACTTAAACACTATGTAGCACAAGCAGCTCTCTAGAAATTACTTACTAAGTCATAAAGAAATTTTGAAAGGGATACAAATATGAAAAAAGAGACAGTTCTTGCCCTCAAGGAATTTACAATCTAATAGGGGAAAATAAGGCACAAAAGGAAGCTGAAAACTAGATGGTAGTTAGGGGGGATGGGGAAAGTACCCTATGAAAGTCAGAGATGTCATCAAGTAGTGAAGCCAGATGAGAAATGAGGAGCTGTTCTGAGCTGAGCTCCTTCCTTAAATGTACGTTTTGGAGTTCATGGTTTCACCTTCCATTCACAGGGGCAAGGGGAGAGTGATGAAGAGTTCCCATAACAGAAATTTCCCGCAGTGATAAAAGCATGGTTCTGTTAATTATTATGCAATACACAAAAAAGAAACAATATACAAACCAAACAAGAAATGAAATTATACATAAAGCCATAACATCAAGACTATTTACATTTTTATATTCCAGCTTATCTAGGGTTCAGGATTTCATCAATGTGAGTACACCCTTCCCCAATGCAAATTGCAAACCTTCCTCATAGGATCACATGTCTAGAAATAGACAAATCAGTTAATAAGCATGTATTAAGCACCTAGGCTGTACGTGTCAAAAGCTGAGCCCAGACACAAAAATGAAACAGTCACTGCCTTTGAGAAGCTTGTATTCTAAAGAGGAGAGAAAACACATACATGTATAGGTATATACAAGATAGATTTAAAAAATATAAACCAAGTAATTTGAGGGCAGAGGGCATTAGCAGCCTGAGGGATCAGGAAGGATGATGGTCTTAGAGGTTATCTTGTCCCACCCTAGAGAGGCTAAGTGACTTAACCAATGTCACAAAGATAGTAAGTGCCACCACTTACTATCCCAGCTCCACAGCTTGGATTTGAACTCAGGTTCGCTGACTCCAAAGTCATGTGATACCACACAGATTATCTTCATGAGTTTCTATGGCTGAAAAAAATATAAATTCTTGCTCTGGCAGCCAATCTAGTGGCAAGCTGATTCTTTACAGTGACGCTTGTCATCTGATCAAGACATGCCCTGGGTCACTGGACCCACACCAAATCCTTTCCAGTTTCATTAAGACCTACCAGAGTTCATGCTCCACTGTCATCGACCTGGAAAACTCAATCACTCATAGATCACAATGAGGCATCTTGTTAAGCAGAAAACTTATTGTCATACATATGGACAAGGAGCTGGTCTTGAAGCCAAGAAGACCTGGGTTCAAATCTCATCTTAAACAGACACTGGCTGTGTGACCCTTGGCAAGTCACTTAATCATTCAGTGTTCTAGGCACCTTTCTTAGACTTGTTGCAGCAAAGGTGCTGACTTGCATTGGTAGAGGAAGTTTCCTCATTTGGGCATTCCCCATATCAGATACAATCACTTCTAGTTCCTATCCCTGTTTCTGTATAAACGTCAAACAAAGTGTAACAATACCTGAAATTTTGTTGCTTTCATCTGTACACCTGGAGGAAGTTCAAATTCTATGATCCTTGACTATATCACGGTCCACCTATACAAACCCAGCAATATACGTTGTCTTCCACCTCTATTCCTATTTACATCCCACACTCCACTTAATATAGCCATTTATTAAGTATCTATTTATTCTTGGGCCTCCCCCTAGTTTTAGTGGAATTGGTTTTCAGCATTGACCGTAGAGCCACGGAGGTGGGGGGAGAGGAAGAGAATAATCTGCTCTTCTCCAAATGCCAAAGCAATCCCAACACAGTGTATGTGTGTGTTTGTGTGTGTGTGAGTGTGAAAGAGAGAGAGAGTACAAACCCTTGTACATGTTGGGAATCTTTCCTACACAGAGTTGAGGCCCATGGGAGCCCTGGACCCTAGCTGAGGGTGGAAGCTAGAGGAAGAAGGGTACCCACCAGGTTTGGGGCTGACCCTGAGCATCCTGTCTGATTTCTAAGGTGTCCCCCAGAGGACTAAGACCTTATAGAATGATGGAGTTGAACTTTAGTTGGAGTATCTCACACAGGGCCATTACTCTGGAAGCCTTGATGGAAAGGGTATGGTGCCCAGCCTAGCAGCCACAGCAAAACAAAGGACTCTTACTGAGACCAAACAATTCATAGGTATACCAGTCTCACTTCGCATCTGAGTATTTCTGCAACAGACGTCCGTGTGATTGCCTACATGTCTCACCTGACTGCACTACTCTGAGATGTCTCTGGCTTTACCACCATGCCTCAGGAAGCTCATTATTGAGAAAACCTCATCCTCCTGCAAGATCTCATTAACCTTAGTACTCCACTTCATCACTCTCCCCTTGCCCCTGTGAATGGAAGGTGAAACCATGACCTCCAAAACCTACATTTAAGGAAGGAACTCAGCTCAGAACAGCTCCTCATTTCTCACCTGGCTTCACTACTTGATGACATCTTTGACTTTCATAGGGTACTTTCCCTATTCCTCCCTGCATTAGCAGCCTGAGGGATCAGGAAGGATGATGGTCTTAGAGGTTATCTTGTCCCACCCTAGAGAGGCTAAGTGACTTAACCAATGTCACAAAGATAGTAAGTGCCACCACTTACTATCCCAGCTCCACAGCTTGGATTTGAACTCAGGTTCGCTGACTCCAAAGTCATGTGATACCACACAGATTATCTTCATGAATTTCTATGGCTGAAAAAAATATAAAAAATATAAAAAATATAATTTATAAACCTCTGTGGGTTATAATATATATAATTAATCCAATCTACATTTTTGTTAATAGTTACCCACCAAAATAGAACAAAGATTGATCATATGGAATTCCCCGTAAGCATGCTTGCCACATGTTTGCCTTTGAGTTTCTTTTCTAAAATATCACATAACTTCGGTGAAACAAAACCTACTCTTGAATCCGTTTCTCATACCTAGCTGGGCAGAGTCTCTGATTCTGACTCCCTCCACATCTCTGAATTGGACCCTCCACAATCCAAGGTAAACTTATCTTTTCCCCTTCTCTTAGCTGGGAGGTCCTTCAAGCACCTAGGAAGACTTGACTGGATTGTTTGGACCCTTACACCTGGGGTGCTTGCAGCAGGCAAATTATCTCTAGACAGAGGACACTCTGTTTGCAGATTTCTCAGGAAGTTCTCTCTGAACTCATTTTTCTTCATTCCTTCCAGTGGGACACCACTGAAGAGAAGAGTGTGGCTATAGGGGGAATTTCCTTAGGCTTATTGTCATTCAGTCCCAGTATTCAGTCCCTAGAATGAAGTATCTGGGGAGAAATCCAGGTTCCTGTGAATACCAGAAAATAGAGAGTAAAAAAGGAAGATATCTAAGACAAAGGGGAATTTGGTAACAATAAGTTACAGACGGTGATGCATAAAGTGGAGGACAGAGGTAGACTTGAGTGGGGGCAGGGCTAGGATGGTGAGGTGGGGCTGAGAATGAAGTCTCCCCTGGGAAGGGGATTCCAACTCAGCAAAAGGAATCTGAACAACAGGGATAAAGGGAATGGGAGGTAGGAATCTGCTGCCATAGGACAAGAGAGGCACCTATTGATCAGAATATTATATAGATCAGGGTAAAGGCAGGAGGCTTCTTGGGGATGGTGCTCCAGAGATCCCTGCAGTGGAGACCTCTAATCTCAGGCAACCTGTGACTTGGAATGGTAGTTTTTCTTAAGTCTTCAGTGGCAGAAGTTGTCCTTTGTGTTTCTTCCTTATCCAACCAGGGAAAGGTGAGTAGAAGAGACTTTCTCAATATGGCAATAGGGAGGGCTCTACAGTGCAGGAGATTTCCAATTCCAGGTAGCCCATGCCTAGACAGTAGGACTTCCTTAGAGATCACCAACTTCAATCATCTTATATTATGGATTAGAAAATGGATGCTTGCAAAGCTAAAGTGACTTGTTCAAAATCACTTAGCCAGAGAGAAGAGCCAGGGCTAAACTGTGTCTTCAGCATCCCAGTCAAAGAATTCTGCTTTATGATATTCTTCCCAAGTGATGTGAAAAGATTTTCTTGATTGCAGGCTAGTCAATGCCCTCTCTGATTCTTCACTTAAATAGTCTTGCCAGAGGCTGTGAAAACACAAATATTTTGTTCAATCTTTTGCTGAGTTTCTTTTGTAACTCTGATGCCTGTGCCTTCTGTTAACTACCTTCTTCTAGTCACTTCTGCCTCCCACCCTTTCTTCCCTTTTTCGGTGTATGTGACTATAAATGTGTATGATAGCATGTGTGTGTGTGTGTGTGTGTGTGTGTGTGTGTGTGTGTAGAAGCTATCGTAGGATGGTTTTTAAAGACACATTTGTTATATCTGAAATAGATTTAAGATTTGCCCTTCCAAGACCCTCCTCATCACTAGCTCAGTGACAATCAGGAGAAGACCTTGTCTGCATGGACTTCATCAGGGGCAGGTCCAGCACAGATTGGGCAGAATCTCCCTTCACAATCAGAGTCAAGACAGATGGCTGGTCCTATTACTGGGTTTAAAAAAAAAACCAAGAGCACAAGTACTGGAAGGGGGGAAAACATGGCTATACGACAATTCATATGAAAAATATCTGGATTTACAAGTCATTATGAGTCGATAGCATGACAAATCAGACAAAGTAGCCAAGGTGAATTTTGGCTTCATTAAGAGAAGCATAGGTTACAAAAGGAGGAATGGTTAGTCCTATACTTCAGCCTGGTCAAGCCAAGGCTGGATCATTGTATACTATCAGCAGAGGGGGTAGGGGCTCATTTTAGAACAGACATTGAGAATTTAAGGATTGTCATAGGAGGATAATCAGGATACAGAGGTGGTGGTGGTGGGGCACAGGAATGAGGAAGGAAAGAAACAAGCAGATTTTAAGACCCACTATATGCCAGGCACTGTGTTAGGCATTTTACAAATATTATCTCATTTAATCCTCAAAACAACTCAGGAGGCTATTGGTCTCCCCACTTCACAGTTAAGGAAACTGAGACACAGAGGTTAATTGATTTGCCCCTGGGTCACACAGCTAAAAAGTATCTGAGGCCATATTTGAATTGAGGTCTCTTCTTGACTCCTATCCATGGCGCCACCTAGTGGCCTCCTTAACAGTACTGTGTTGAGGAAGTAGGGGGAAGACAGGGATATGCTAGCTGAATTTCAGTATTTGAAGGCTGTGCATGGGAGGGTTTCACATTTTTGGTTTCGTTTTTATTGTTCTACTGGTGGGGAGGCAGTGGGAGAAATAATAAATGATTGTAAAAATAAATTTAATCTATCTATCTATTTATCTATCTATCAAGCTTTCCTTCAGAGGAGCTTATGAGTAATAGAGAAGCCTGATTAGCTACAGGTTGGACTTGATTGGTGAAATCAAGCTCAAATAGAAATGAATTCCTGAAGGCGATATACTGAATTAGAAAATGACAAATTAACATTGTCCATGTTGTAATACATTTTTTATTTATTTCATTCAATATTGCCATCTAACTCTGCTTGGGCCACCTTGGGAAGTGTTTTGGCCGCAAGTTTGGCCCGTCTGGACTATATGAGGTGGAGGAGGTTTTGGCTTCACATGTGAGAGCTATTATGGCAGTCGTCCTCTACAGTTCCCTCTATGCTCCTCTTCCGGGGTGTGTCTTCCAGAGCTGCTCAGCCTCCACACACTAGACACACAGATGCTTATTTTATGAAAAGAAACAGGAGGGAACTGAGGAATAGGTCTCAGGTGAAGGGGATGGACTAAAAGAAGGCAAGATTTGTCATTGGGCTTGACAAAAGGAAATGGACTCTCTTTTGAGCAAACCACCACTGGCAGAAACAAGTGACTAGGGGAAGACTCCCCTAGCCAAAACATCCTGAGGGAATGAAAATGTCTTAGAATCAGACTGGCAACACTACATCAGACTGGCTGACTCTGGGGTCCCTCACCAATTTTCTCTGCTCATAGCTCTTTTTGTGGTTCCACTAAAGAACTGGAAACTAAAGGGACATCCATCAAATAAGGAATAGCCCAACAAGTTATGGTATAGTAATGTGATGAAATGTTGTTGTACTCGAAGAAATGATGAAGGGGATGGTTTCAGAGAAACCTGGGAAGGACTGCATAAACCAATTTGGAACAAAGTAAGCAGAACCAGGAAAACAGTTTATATGATGACAACATGTACAATGACAATTGTAAAAACAAACAACTCTGAAAGACTTTAGAACTCTAATCAGCGTAATGACTCACCATGATTCCAAAAGATTCATGATGAAGCATACTACCTACCTCCTAACAGAGAAGGTGATGGACTCAGGGTACTGATTGGGACGCATATTTTGGACTAGGCTAATATGGGAATTTGTTTTGTTTGACTTTGTATATTTGCTACAAAAGTTTTATTTTTCTTCCTTTTTTTTTTTCAAATTTACAGGGGAAGGGGAGTGACAGAGAGGTGCTATTTTTAATTGAAAATAAAAAAGTTTTGTTTTCCTCCTATTTGTTCTTCCTACTTCCTTTTTACCCTAATGTCTAGGAAACACTCTAGAAAGCAAAACTGGGGGGACTCACTTCAGTGTTTGTAGTTTAAAAGTCTGCTTTTCCAAGGCCTCACACAGCAGCTTCATTCCTTCATCACCAAAAAAATTAGAACTCAGGTCCAACATCTTTAGGTTCTCACTGCTACATATAACAGGGAGGAGATCCTGAAGACCAGTAGCAGTGAGATTACATTGGATCAATCTAAAAAGAGAAGGATAAGCAAAGCAAAAATGACAATTAAATTTCTCTAGGAGCCATTCATTTCCTGACTTTTTGTGTGAAGGGGATCAAACCTACATCCCCTTTAGAATTAAATTAGAATTAAACACTCAGAACACACACACACACACACACACACACACACACACACACACACACACACACACACACACACACACACACACACACACACACACACACACACACATGGCTTTGTTTTTCTTTTCCCCAAAAGGGAAGGGGAGGAAGGTGGGCACTGGAGAATAAGGATAAGATAATGAATGGAAAAAAGAAAAAAAACAGAGAAAAGAACAGAAGGAAAGCTGGAAAGAAACATAAACAGGACACTTTTGAAAGCTACAGACTGATCTTATATATTTAAAAATAAAACCAAGCTCCACATAACAGAGATCTATAATTTCATGCATAATTCTCTTTTGTCTGTTCTACTACATAGAATAAAAGTCCATTCTCCTTAGTGTTTGTTAAGTTCAGAATTTAAAAAAAAAAGAATTCAGGCTAGAATGGAAATGACAGGTTGTTTTCTTTTTTTAATGGGCCTTTCCAGAAAAGTTAATGAGCAAACAAGAGATAGAGAGGATCAAAAAAAGTTTTAATGGTAAATTTTGATTAAATAAAATTTAAAGATTTTTCATAAACAAAACCAATGCAGCTAAATTTAGAAGAAAAACAAGTTAATGGGGGAAAGAATCTTTGGATCAAGTTTCTCAGATAAAGGTCGCATGTCCAAGTTTATAAGAAACTAATTTAAATTTATAAGACTAAGAGCCATTATTCAATAGATAAATGATCAAAGGATATGAACAGGCAATTAAAAATAACAATTTATTTTCTCCCAATCACACATAAAAATAATTTTAACATTTTCTTAAAGTTTTGAGTTCAAAATTCTATCCTTCCTTCCCTTCCTTCTCACCTCCCTGAGCCAGTAAAAAATCTGATATAGGTTATATGTATGCAATCATGTAAAACAGTTCCATATTAGTCATTTTGTCCAAGAAGACAAGGAAGGAAGGAAAGAAGGAAGGGAGGAAGGGAGGAAGGGAGGAAGGGAGGAAGGGAGGGAGGAAGAATGTGAAAAAAATAGTATGCTTCAGTCTGTATTCAGATATCAGTTCTTTCTCTGGAGGCAGCATTTTTCATTGTGAGTCTGGTGGGATTGTCTTGGATCATTGTATTGCTGAGAATAGCCAAGTCATTTACAATTCTTCATCACACAATATTGCTGTTACTGTATTCAATGTTCTCTTGGGTCCACTCACTTCACTTTGTATCAGTTTATGTACGTCTTTCCAGGTTTTTCTGAAATTATCCTACTTGTCATTTCTTATAGCACAATAATATTCCATTATAATCATATAACATAACTTGTTCACCCATTCCCCAATTGATGGGAATTCCCTCAATTTCCAATTCTTAGCTACCACAAAAAGAGCTGCTGTACATATTTTTGTACAAGTAGGTGCTTTCCCCCTTTTTTTTTTAATCTCTTTGGGATACAGGCTTAGCAGTGGTATTGCTGGAACAAAGGGTATGCACATTTTTATAGTCCTTTGGGCACATGAACAGGCAATTTTTTTTTGTTTTGTTTTGGTTTTTTTGGTGAGGCAATCGGGGTTAAGTGACTTGCCCGGAGTCACACAGCTAGTAAGTGACATGTGTCTGAGACTGGATTTGAACTCATGTCCTCCTGACTTCAAGGCCAGAGTTCAATCCACTGCGCCACCTAGCTGCCCCTAATGAACAGGCAATTTTTAAAGAAAGAAATACAAGCCATCAACAACCATAAGAAAAAATGTCATAAATCAATAATAATTAGACAAATGTAAATTAAAGCAACTCGAAGTTCCATTTCACAAGCAGAGATGACAAAAGAGAAGAACGAGGAGTATTGAAGAGGCTATGGCAAAACAGGCACAGTAATTCATTGTTGGTGGAGCTGTGAATTGGTCTGGATATTCTGAAAAGGAATTTAATTTCCTGGAACGCCAAGAACATTACCTAATTGTATATACCCTTTGACCCAGCTATACCATTGAGCGAAATGATTCATTGAGGATCTGTATTCAAACTCTAATCTACATTAGTTCATTAAGATTTTCTAAGCAGTCATGATTGTTAGTAATTATTCTAATATATTCATCTAGTAATACATATCTAGTCAATCACCTAATAACAGGTATAAGAATAAGCAATGTATTAACCCATACTTTGTACAAGTCATATGGGAATATAGATTCTAACAGAAGGGCCCTATATTGGGTCTCAAACTTTAATGTAATGTTCATTACTTGTTTACTAGCTATGGAACTCACTTGTGCAACCACAAGAATGCTGACACAGATATCTCTATCCTGTTTTGCTCATGGTGCAGAAATTCCCTCTTCCGCCTTCCCCTGATATGTTCTTGGAGTGTATGTATAACTTATACCATCTCCTCTTGCCTAACCTAAGGAGGAACCCATTCATTTTGTGACCACCTAGTCAATGAAGATATTCTTTGATTTACCCAACTCATGACCCTGCTGACATATCATATTTGCTTATTTTAGCTTATGCGTCATATGTCAACCAATGAGATTCTGTATTTTACCATACCTCTTTTGCATATTTGGGTATCAAACTCTAAATACAAGGTCTTAAAAGAAGGGGGCATCTCAGTTTGTGAGGAAGATCTGAGGTCCCCTAGATTTAAGGGCATCATGGACCCTTTAAGAAACTGCCATTGGCTCACAGCTTTGCCTCAGTCTCTTTTATTGTAGGTTGGACAATTTTAATCCCCACACCGCTATTAGTCCTATACACCAAAGAAATGAAAGAAAGAGGAAAAGGAGTTATATGTACAACAATATTTATAGCAACTCTTTCTGTTATACCCCAAAATTGTGCACTAAAGGGGTGTTTTATTTAGGAATGGTGAAACAAGTTGTGTTATATGAATGTAATGGAATATTGTGCCATGAGATATGATGAAATGGACAGTTTCAGAGGACACTGGGAAGATCTCTATAAACTTATGGGGTGGGAAATAAGCAGAACAAGATCAATCTATACAATAGCAACATTATAAAGAAAAATAACTGTGAAAGACTTTGGAACTCTGACACAATGATAAGTGAGTCCAAAATAATGATGAAGAAACTGACCACCCATCTTCTGACAAAGAGATGATGAACTTGAACTTCTGGGGGATAACCTCCTCTTTCCATATAACCCAGAAAATTTCAGTTAGCTTTTGTATAAGTAATGAACCCCTACTTTGTAAATTTCAGCTGGAATAGAATCATCACCACATTCTTTGCCACAGGAGAGGAGCCTATTGGCATTCAAAACCTCTTCTTCAGTTAGAAAGTTGGCTAGAGAGGGGTTGATTTCAACCTGTGGTAAATGGTCAACAGTTTCAGCAATGATTGATTATGGTCTGTTGAGAATTCTATGGAAGTGTTCAACTCATCTCTCCAGGATCATGTTCTTATCACTAATCAATTTGGCTCCATTAGCACTGAGTAGTTGAGATGCACTATACATCTTTGGCCCATAAATAGCCTTCAGAGTATCATAAAAGCGCTTTTGATTTTATTATCAGTGTAATAATGATACACTTGTTCTGCCTCAGAAGACATAAGTAGGTACAGTTATAGAGGACAATTTAAATCAAACGTAAGGAAAAACTTCCTAGCAATTAGTGCTACTCAAAAGAGAAATGGGCCGGGGCAGCTAGGTGGTGCAGTGGATACAGCACTGGCCCCGAAGTCAGGAGGATCTGAGTTCAAATCTGGCCTCAGACCAGACACCTGACACTTACTGGCTGTGTGACCCTGGGCAAGTCACTTAACCTCAATTGATTTAAAAAGAGAGAGAGAGAAATGGGCTCCCTTGAAAGGAAGTTGGCTTCCCCTTGTTGGAAATATTTAAGCAAATGCGGCATAATCACTTGTCTATTTCATAATGGGTATAAACGGCCACTGAAGCCCCATCCAACTCTCAAATTCTGAGAAAATCTCAGGTCTTTGTACTGCATATTACAAAATAAAGAATTCTAAGGTCATAGTGAGTAAAGGCAAGCTATGGAGTCAAGAATGGGAATAAATGCAAGTGAAATCCAGGGAGACGAGCTGGAATGGAAGAAGAGAGATAAGCCTAGGGTATGACAAGGGCTCGCTGTAGGTGAGAGAAGAATTAGAAAAACAGGAAGTTGGATATCAAAATTATGGACCTTGAATGATATCTTAGTGACTAGAGACCTCAACCCCCTAGATATTCTCTGGAGCTGTCTCTGGGCCAGAAGCATAAGATTCGATAAATTCCAGGCTAGCCGTAATGACAATTTCTTTTTTCAAAAGAGAAGAATAAATTATAATGACTGTTAAAATTTTGAACCACAAAAAAAGTGCCGGGAACCTCAGAATAAATATTCAGCCTTCCAGTTGTCTCCAATTTCAGAATGAATCGAAACTGTGGTCTGGACAACCAGCCAAAACCTACACAGGTTAGTGAAGAAAAAGCTAAGGTGAAATTAGGCTGCATTAAGAGAAATCTAGTACTTGGAAAGAATGTGGATAGTTTTTCAAAATTTGGTCTTAGTCAGATAAAAATAGCATTGTTATATTCAGTTCTGAGTGCTTCATTTTAGGAAAGATACTGACAAACTACAGCAAGTCCAACAGTATAACAAATAACTAGCATAGTAAACAAACTGGACTTCCGGCTATGGGAAGATAAACTGAAGAAGCAGAGGGATGTTTTGATGTTTTGACTGGAGAAAAGACTTGTGGGAGACATGACAGCTGTCTTTAAGAATCTGAAAGTGTGTCATTTAGAATTGGGATTACAGTATATATATTCTGTTTGAAACCTATAGCAAATATTCCCAGTTTTACCCACTATGGCTAGAAAGGCAGGTCTGAACCTTGTTTAGAAGTAAAAACTCCTTAATGAGAGATATCTAAAAGGAAAATGAATTGTTTCTTCAATAGAGGTTTGCAAGTTGATATTGAATAACCATTTGTCAGAGCTGTTGAATAAGGGATTCCTGTTCAGGCACAGATTGGTCCAGAAGATCTCTGAGGCTGCTTTCAACTCTGGAATCATGTGATTCTGTCACAAAGGAAGAGTTAATGATTCCTTAGAAACTAGCATGAGAATTACTGGGCAGAGGGAATCCAATCTTCCTATCATTTAGTCATTAATATGGTATACTCTTTCCCAAATTCCCCTGACTCTGTCTCTTATAGAAACTTCAGTGGGTCTGTCAGAGGGAAGTGCATGCTTCCTTCAGCAAACCATCTCCTAGGAGATCTCCAAGATCTCTCACTGCATCCTGGGTCATTTCCAGTAATCCAGATAAATATCTGGCCACTGGACCTAAATGGCTCTGGAGGAGAAAGGGAGGCTGGTCACTTTGCACAGCCTGTTCTCACTCAAATCAAATCAATTGCGAGTTATGTCATCATCTCCCTGATGTCATGGTCCTCTTTGAGAATGAAGGACAAACCACAATCTTCTATGGACTGGGCCCCAAGACACAAGAAGAAGGAAGAAGGATCTATTACACATCATTTATTAAAGAGATCAAAGTATTCTGACCAGGGGTCACCCTGATCCAACCTCAGACAAAAAGGTTCAACTCTTTTCCCTCCAAATTTGTGCTCTTTCCATTTACCTCTTGACCCAGGAAACCCTTCACAAAATACCTATCAGTCTCACCTCAGTGTGTGTAGTTTACAATTTTGATTTCCCAACGCTTCACACAAGTGTTTCATTGCATGTTTTCCAAAGGAATTATGACTCAGGCACAATTCTTTCAGGCTCTCATTCTTCATGAGAGTGGCGAAGAGATACTGACTACAAGCAGAAGAGAGTTTGCAATATGTCAACCTATAAGATAAAACATAATAAGAAGAAGAATGATTATTTAAATTTTTCATGATGAATTCATTTCCTGGTTTCTTCCTGGGAGGGCTCACACACACACGTGTGTGTGTGTGTGTGTGTGTGTGTGTGTGTGTTCTTTTCATAATCCATTTCTAATTTTAGCTATATTGGTTTTGTTTGTATAAAACCTTTTAAATTTTTGTAATAAAAACTGTACATTTTCTTCAATGTTCTCTATCCTTTAGTCATGAATTCTTTCCTTATACATAGATCTCACAGGTAATTTCTTTGCTCTTCTAATTTGTTTATTGTACATCTATTTAGTGTTTATCTTGGTAAATGGTGTGAGAAGTTGCATTGAACTCAATTTCTGACAACTTCTTTCTTATTTTCCCAGGAGATTTTGTTGAAGATTGAATCCTTAACCTCAGCATTAGGGATTTTTTTTTTCCTTCTCTGTTTTGTCTCTCACCAGCTTGGTTAACAAGAGCATATCAGCATGGCTGATAGTTTAGGAGTTCGGATTTTTAGTGCAGAAATTATTGAAAAAGTTTAGAAGGTTCTCATTGCCCATATTTTTGCAAACAGTTTGGATAATTTTGGAATTAATGTTTCTCTGTAATTCTTGATAGAATTCTATCTAATCCTGGAGTTTTTCTTTTTGAAGTTTGTGGCTTGCTCATTTATTTTTCTGGTACTGAATAATTTAAACAATCTATTTCTTCTGTTAATCTGGAATTTTACATTTTTTAGTATACATTTCATTTAAATGACCAGTTTTGTCCCCATACAGTTAAGCGACACAGTTTTTAATAATTTCCTTTATTTCACCTTCACTTGTTGGGAATATTTTTTGATACAATTTGATTTTCCTCTCTCATTTAAGAAAAATCAAATAAGCTATTTATCTATTTTATTAGTTTTTTTTAAAAAGCAGCCCCAATTTTGTTTGCCAACTTAATGTTTTATTTTCTTTTAATTTTAATATCTTCAGTTTTCATGATTTCTACCTTGATATTAACCTGGGACAGGGTTGATTTGTCTCTTTTCCAGTTTTTTTTTCAGTTTAACTCTAAGGTAGCTATATCCCATAAATTTTGGCGTCTCACTGTTGTCATTTTCTTTGCTAACACTTTCTTTTGTTCCTGTCATTTGTTCTTTGGCTCACCATTTATTTACATTTAAGTATTCAGTCTCTAATTTTTAATTCTTTCTTCAAAGATCCTCTAGTAAATATAATTTTATTGCATTGTGCTCAGTAAAAGATGTTTTCGGTATTTCTGCTTTTCTGCATTTGTCTGTGAGGTTTTTATGCCTCTATATATGGTCAGTTTTTATAAAGGTATCATGCATAGCTACCTCATCCAGTAATCATCAAAGTTATATCATCTCTAATTTTCCTAAAGTTCTTTTCAAGTCCTTAACTTCTATCTTGTTTATCATTTTGTCCCTGCCCTCAACAAGCTTATATTCTGTAGGGGGAATGCAGACAAACATGCAATATTTAAACAGATAAATATATACATTATTATTTAAGGAAGGAAAAAGTACTAACTAGAGAGATCAGCAAAGGCTATCAGTAGATAATATATGACCTGAGCTTTCAAGGAAGCTAGGGATCCAAAGAAGAAGAGGTGAGGAGGGAACTCATTCCAAGGATAAGGAATTCCCATAAAGAAGAAAAGAGATGGGAGATGGAATTTTGAGTTTGGGGAAGAGAATTAGGGCAATTTGGCTTGGAATGCAAAGGGTGTGAAGAAGAGAGGTACTAGACCTATGAGTTCATTGAAAGAAATCTAAGTGAAGAAAATCTTTTTTTTTTCTGATGTGGTCAATATCTTCTGTGCAAATTAAAGTTCTAGAGAATTGCCTAGAGAGGTTAAGGGACTTACTCAGGGTTATATAGCCAGTGTGGATCAGAGACAGAATTTGAACCCAGGTGTGGTCAAGGCCAACTTTCCATCCACTAGCCATAGCTGCCTCTCACAAGTTGAAGGTAGGAATGTGAAATAACACTGGAATGGTAGGGTAAAGCCAGATTATAAAGGGATTTAAATGCAAAGTTAAGGAATTTGTATATTATCAAAGGAATCTGTATGTGGATAGGGACCCACAGAAGCTTCTTGAGCTGAGAAGTAACACAATCATACCTATGCTTGAGAGAATTTATTTTGCCTGCTGAGTAGGGGATGATGACGATGACTTTTAAGGCTTGATAACATCAATGTGAATCTAAACTGAGTTTGAAGAGGTCACTGTAGTAGAGAAGGTTGAATAACTATGTGGTCCACTTAGAGGAATTGTTTGTCCAACGTGAACGCCAGAATCTTCAAGAAGAATACCAAAGGATTTTCAATCAAGGATGACAGTGGTATAGGGACCATAATTGAAGAAGTCAAAAGAATTACCTAGATCCATGTACCTAAGTCAACATGGGTTATGATCTGCATCAAGACTCAGCCAAAATACAATTTTCTGAAAAAGGCTTTTCCTCACTCCTAGTGCCTTCCTTGCAATTTCAGACTATTTATTTCTTTATCCACTTGATTTTTCCAAAGTGGATTGTTAGGCCAAACACTTTAGCGTGGTTATGGATCCTACTTAAGAGGCTCTGCAGAGTTCTAATGATTGATGCTGATTAATACAATGTCATCTGAAGAAGAAGTGTCTGGTGGATAATAATCCCTATAGGAAATCCCTCTTTTTGGGCTCTGTTTTGAACATCCTCCATGATATCAGCAAACAATTCTGACAAGCATAGCTCCCTATTTTTTGCCTCATTCTCCCTCTTGTTGAGTTTACCTCTACAACAGCTTTCACCTATGTCCTCCTCTCTGTACTCATATGGTTCCATTCCAGGCATTCACAATGTTTATTTGGATTACTGCAATAGCCTCCTAATTGGTCTCTCTGCTTCTGGTCCTTTGCCTCTTAAAACCATGTGAACCCTACCAAAAAAATCTTCAATGGTTCTTACTTCTATGTAGAAACACAATCTCTTTGGCCTGGCAAAATCAGTTCTCTACAATCTGGATTCTGTTTCTCTTTCCAGCATCATATCCTATGACTGCCTTTTAGAAACTGTTCTCATCAAATGGGCCTGCTAGCTATTTATTTACAAGACATACAATTTCCTGCTTTCATACTTCTACAAAGCTGATGTTCCTACGTCAGGAATTAACTTCTTCCTCTCTTCTGCCTAGGGAGCACTGTGTCATCCCAAATCCAGACCTCTTACCTTGGGCCTTGTCATTTCCGAGACTTCCCAGTAAGTCACCCACCTCCTGGCCTTTGTCATAACCCCAAGGTCTTTTCAGAGAGCCTTTCATTAATGCTGGATCCAGGACACCTGCTTTTGGCTTCTTCACTAAAGAAACTTTTCAGGTCACATCAACTCTGAATCCAGGCTAACTGCCTACTATCTTGTCTTCATCCAAGTGCCTTCTTGGAGAGCCTTGCATGAGACTCAGATCCAGACCTCTTCTTCATTTCACTTCAGGACTATCTGCAGTGCTCTAGAGACCATTCTTAGCCTTACCTATTTCCTACCTTTTATTTCTACTTCCCTAGAAGTCCTGATTTGCTGAGAGGTGGGCTCCTGGGCCTTGAAGGACACAATATGATTTATGAGGCTGAACCTCAAGGGAGAGTTTTGAACAATTCAACCACCTGCCTCCCTCAAGAGACCTTTTTACAGCCACTGATACTTTGCCAGGACTCATTCCTCAATGGCTTGCATACTCCCATCATACTCTTCTCATCCTAGTGATTCTGAAGCCCCAGTTGTCCTTGTACAAACCCTATCCTTCACTGCCCACTCAAATGTTGACTCCAGATCTATACTCCCTCTACTGTGCTCTATGGAATTAAGGACCCATAATTACCAAGACTGCTTTCATCTTAAATATTTTCCTTTCTTATTCCCTCTATCTTTTGGCTCCCACTGATCTCTGCCTCCTTCAAATGCATCCTTGCCAAAAATTTCCAATAGTGGTTTCATTTTCCCTTTTAACCTACCAATTCATGGGTCATGAAGGAGGATTAAGAATATTCTGAGTTAAACATTGTCACTCTCAGATTCCCCCTCTATCAAAGAGGTTCCCAAACTTATTTGGCTTACTTCCCCCATTTCAAAAGAAAATTACTCAGTGCCCCTTCTAGAAATCTACTTTCTTTTCTTCCTTTTTTTTTTTTTGCATTGAAAAACAAAGACTATTAAAATATACAAAATTTGTGTAATGACACCATTCAGGATGAACATTGCAGACATTGCTATTCTGGGAAATCTACATTCATTGACCCTTTAAATTTTTTTTTTTTTAAATTTGCGTCATTACCCCTTCCCAGCCTGGCAATATCCATGAACAACATGTCAGACCCCCAGCGGCCCAACAAGGTGCTCAGGTGCAAGCCACCTGCCACAGAGAACAACCCTGGCCCTGGAGGATCTGACCCTGGACTACATGAACCTGCTGGGAATGATCTTCAGCATGTGCAGCCTCATGCTCAAACTGAAGTGGTGTGCCTGGATTGCAGTCTACTGTTTCTTCATCAGCTTTGCCAACTTTCAAAGCTCTGAAGATACCAAGCAGATGATGAGCAGCTTCATGCTCTCCATTTCTGCTGTGGTGATGTCCTACCTCCAGAACCCCCAGCCTATTACACCCCCATGGTAGACACCAATCTCTTAGTTCTTCAGCCTGAACCTCAGAACCCTAGGGCTTTTACTATTGGTTCCTGGGCCAGGATAAAGAAAATGCCAGAAACTGGTTCATTCATCACTCCTGTGTTCACCTCCCAACTTCTACTCCAAATCTGGGGCCTCAGACTGTGAATCCATGGTGGAATGTTCCCACTCTGACCTTACCTCCACTGAAGTACTGCCTGGTCTTGGGCCCTGACCCTGTCAGTGTCCCCCAGCCCCAAATTTCTCTCCAGCCTCCCTGACCCAGGCACCTTGGGCAGAGGAGGATCCTGTGACTCCTGCCTGGCCCCTGGTCACAATGTCTGTTCACCCTCCTGGGCCAGGGTCCTTCCCAGGAGGCTGAGACTGGGGACGGATGACCCCAGGCCAAGGCAGACAGGACTGGTGCAGGTGCGACTGCTTGTAACTACTTGTAGCAACCAATATAGATGGATGTGTAAGAAAAAAAAAAGAAATTTGCATCATTACAAAAAATATAAATTTTTTTTCTTTAAAAATGACGTATCTTAAATTTAATCACTTATTGTAAATTTTTTTTTCCCTGCATTGAAATTTTGATGACACAAGATAGTATAGTATTGTACTGTAAACAAGTCATTATACATACATATTCCTGAAGATGCATGCTGGATTTCCTGACAATGCACAACATGCTTGCCTGCCAACACTTGCTTGTTAAGACTTGTTGGCAGACTTGACCATTGATTGGTTATAACTTGCATTTTGTTTGCTCATTTGGAAAATAATGTGATCATTTTGACTTTAACTCTGTTATATAATAGATGAGACATGTGCAAATGGTTTTTCAAAGTTTTCTTATCTTCTCTTCTTTCATTATGCTTCTACTGCCCCCTTATTTTTATTCAATGCCCCCAATTGCACCCGAGACTACTACTGCCCTTCCCATGGTTCTAGCACCCCCCAGAGGTGGTATCATCCTTTCTACTTTTCCAATGTCATGATACTTTAACCCCCCTCTTCATAGTCTATGATCCATCAACAATGGCCTTTCTGTTGTAATTTGTACCCTACTCTATTTCCCGACTGCCTTTTCACTGGTTCCTCCCATGCTTGGAATCTTCTCCTTCCTTACCTCCGCCTTCTGACTTACTTCAAGATTCAGGTCAAATCTCACCTAAAATTAGCCTTTCTTGTCTGCTTCCCCAATCGCCAACACCCCATCCCCCACAATCCCTATCAACTAATACCTTGCTCTAAGTTTAACTGCCATATACACCGCTTCTTTTATGTACAATTTTTTGTTTACTGCTCCCCCATTAAGATGTAAGTTTCTTGATGTCAGATACCATCTTTTTTGCCTTTCTTCATATCTATAGTGATTAAAAGTGTTGTTTGGTTGCCTCTTAGAATCTCCTGCTTCTTTCAAAGTAGAGTCCAAGCACTAAGGCCTAAAGAAAAGTCTCATGAAGAGGCCATACTGATCACTCCAATTGTTAATGTCACTTTCTGTTTAAACTTACTTTATATATACTTTATATTTACTTAGATGTATGCAAGTTGCATACCCCCCACAGAATATAATGTCTTTAAATGTTGGGACTTTTTCATTTTTGTCTTTATATCCCCAGCACCAAGCACAGGATCTTTCATAATCTGGGCATTTAGTAAATGTCTGTCAAACTGAATTTTCAACTGTGTGACTGTTTGTACCTTGCTGTAGGCTGTCATCTGCAAAAAAAAACTTCTCTTCTCCCATCTCATGCTCCTATCAAGGATACTTTCAATAGGCACAGAGTTGATTCTCTAAAGGCTAAAGCAGAAATATGCATCCATCCTTCATGATATCTCCTGTCTCCTCCTTTTACAGAAGGCAAGAGTCAGTCTCCTCATTGAACTCATGCTGTCTTGCTTCTAGCCCAGCTTTCCTCTGGGTACTGGTCTTGCTTATCTTCACATTTGATTTTCTTTGGTACCTCTTTCCATTTTCTTGTGCAACAAAACAAAGGTCTAAGATGTTAGATCCCAAATGTGGGGGACCCACTGTTACTGAGGAAGAAAACATTTTGTTTTGGAAAAATAATGACAGAAAACCATTCTAAAGCTTAAAAAGACTCTCTAATGGACAAATGAATTTGTGATTTTATGGATTTTGGAGGTGCCTCTTATGATGTAGATCATAACCCATTCATACTTATCCATCCTGTGGCCTCTTGTCCACATTCTCCCATACCCTGGCCACAGGGCATCCACCCAAAATGCTGGAGGCCTACCTCACTTTCTGGTACTGTGAGAGTACCACTAGGGCATTCAAGCTGTCATTTTCTCAAATTGATCATATAGCCAGTCATCTTTTCCTCTTATCATAAAGCTCCTTGATGACATAGCCTTTACTTCTTTTCTTTAAAGTTTCTCATTGGTTAAATGTTGCAAAGGGTTCATAACCATAATGTGCTTCTCCACTGCCATTTGTATGATACTCCTTGCTAATTATTTGGAGGCTGTTGTATTTCAGTTCTCACTACTCTACAGTAAGACCTATACAGGCAATCCAACCCATTCACCTCCTCCTTTTCAATTAGGAGCCCAATTCAACATCCATTTGTACTGTTTATCCCAAATAATGGATGAGTTCTATAGGTTTTCCATTCAAATGCAAATCATAACCTTGTCAACAGATATTTTTCATCTATTTTGTTTGTCCTATATGAATGATTAGCTCAAATTCCTTTGAATGATTATATATTATCTGCAATGTGCTATTGCTTAATACAACTTAGACAATTTCTCTCAACAAAGAGGAACATCTAGAGCACCTTACCATTCATAGAAAATTCTTCCCTTCTTTAAACATGTGGGGAATTATGGATGTGGATCAATACATATGATATTAGACTTAGTTGATGTGTTCATTGGTTTTGCTAAACTTTTTTTTCTCTTTTAAAATTCCATGTTAGAATGGATAGTTCTCTGGGAAGGAGAAGAAGAATATACTGGGAAATGGAGGAGACGTAAAAACAAAAATAATGTAAACAAAAAGAAAATGAACTCTTCCAAAATCATTTCTCATTCCATTCATGGTGATTTCCTTTCTTAGCAAGTATTTTCTCAAACACATGAGAAAGAAAGATTAACAATGGAGTCAATCCTGATTAAGTATTTTTAAGAACACAATTGCAGGATAAGAGCAAGAATTAATGTCAGTTCCTGTTTCTAGGTAATAATATCCAATATATTTTCTATTTGACCAATTATTCCTAATTATCTCTTGTCTCTAAGCTCACTCAATATTGCTTAGCTTCCTCCTATTATAATTTATTGATATAATACAATAAATAGAGTTATCAAATACCTACTATATACCAGGCAGAGCACTGGAAACTGGGGATAAATAGCTACAAGTGGAACAGTCTCTGCCTTCAAGGATTTTGCATTCTATCAAGGGAGATAATGTATAAATAGACAAGTAGACAGAAAAGACACAAGAGAATTTTTGATAGGAGGGCACTAATAGCTAAGCAGATCAGGAAAGGCTTTATGGTGAGGGTGGTGCTTAAAATGAGTCTTAAAGGACACTAGAATCTCTATGAGGCAGGAGTGAAAACAGAAACCATTCCAGTCATAGTGGCTAGCCAATGCAATGGCACAGAGACAGGAGGTGGATTGCAGTTATGTGAGCAAAAGTAAGGCCACTTGGTTGGCCCACGGAATGTGTGAAGAAACTAAGGTATAGTAAGGTTGGAGAGGTAGGTTGAGGACAGGTTGTAAAGGGTTTTAAATGCCAAACAGAGGATTTGATATTTGTTCCTGGAGATAACAGGGAACAACTAGAATTTACTGAATAATGGAATGGCATGGTCAGACTAGTGCTTAAAGAAATCACTTGGGCAGCTGTGGGGATGATGGATTACAGAGGAGAAAGACTTGAGGTACAGAAACCAGTTAGTAGGCTATTGCAATAATGAAGGTGAAAGGTGATGAGGGTATGAGCTAGAAGAACAGTTGTATGCAAAGAGATAAGAAAAGATAAAGGAGATTTTGTTGGAAGAAGAAATTACAATATTTGGCAAAGATTATGTGTATGGGGTGAGAAAGTAAGGAATCAAGGATAATAACAATGTAGCAAACCTGAATGACTAGAAGGATGGTTTCCTCAACAGAAATAGGGAGGTTAGGAAGAGATACGGTTTTTGTTGAAAATATAAGCAGTTCAGTTCAGACATGTTGAGTTTGACATGCTTATGGTATATCCAGAGACTAGGACTGATAATACAAGTTTTAGAGCCATGCATATAAATGTGATAATTGGCTGTTAGAGAGAAATGCAGTATTCCCTTAGCAAATCAATCTTTCCCTGTCATATTCCTCCTCTTTCAGGATTAGTGAGAGGGAGAAGGGTGTAAAACTATGAACCCTGAACCTGGATTAGGCAGACAGTTTCCACTCTCCATTCCCTGGTTTGCGTTGGTCTCTCTTCCTAATGTGCTCCTGTCTCTGATACTGAGCAGAACATCTAAAAAGGGAACATGTGGGAACTCACCTCAGTGTCTCTAACTTGCAGTTTTGATTTTCCAAGACCTTGCACAGAAGTTGTATTCCTCCCTCCTCGAAGGGATTTCCACTCAGATCTAGGTTTTTCAGGCTCTCGTTGCTACTAAGAGCAGATAAGAGATTCTGGGAACATCTACGAGTAAGCCTACAAAACATAAAACTGTAGAAGAAAACATAATTAGAGGGGAAATGGTCAGTTCAATTATCTGTGATTAATTCACTTCCTGTCTTTCTCTGGGCAATGCTAAAAACACATCCACTTTATGATCACCATCCTTTGTCATTTCCTTTTCAGTGGAATGAATTTAGTTTCTTTAAAAATGGTCAGTCTCTTCCAGAGAACAGCATTTTTATACTTTAGACTATAAGGCAAGAATCATCAAACCTATTTAGTACTAGCTAAAAAAACAGAAAAGTATACCAATAGACCAAATTGAATGAGAAAGAATCAGAAACAATTAAACTCAATAATTAGTCTTCAATAGACATGAGAACATAAATTACTCACAGAAAAACTCCTATATGAAAAAAAATGCCAGAAAAAACTGGAAAGCATTTTGGCAGAAATTAGGTTTACACCAACATTTAAAGATATGTCATAATTAGCTGACAATATACATGTGGCCAGAATACTGAAAGTCATAATGGAAGAAGGAGAGGGAGAAGGAGGAGGAGAGAATCGGAGTAGGAACCTTAGACAACTTTGAATAGGGGAGAATTCTCGGATAGTGATAATAACAAAAGACAAAATAGCTCATATTCATTACATGAAATTGAAAAAGTTTTGCATGAACAGAATTAATGGTATGATAAGAAGGAAGGCATTTGGGAAATGTTTTGTTTTGTTTTGTTTTGTTTTGTTTTGGCAGCAAATACGTGATGTGGGACTAATATCCAAGATGTGTGTGTGTGTGTGTGTGTGTGTGTGTGTGTGTGTGTATAACCGACAGAATTATATGATTTAAGTCATTGCTAAATGAACAAGTTGTCAAAGGAGATGAACAAACAGCTCTCAAAAGAGAAATTGCAAACCTCTAATAACCACATAAAAGACTACTACAAATTACTACTATAAGAGAAATGCAGAGTAAAACAACTCTGAGACAAGTTAGCAAAAATGACAAAAGATAGGAAAAGTCAATGTTGGAGAATTGTGGAAAGATAGGCTCACTAATTCTCTATTGAGGGAATTGGTATGACTTATAGAAAGCCAATTTTAAATTATGCTAACAAATGACTAATATACCTATGTTTTTAGACCAAAGATATACTTCTAGTTATATATAAAGAGGACATCAAAGACAGAAATGAAGATCATTGAAGCATATTTTTAAATGCAGAGAAGGGAAGAGAAGGAAGTTGAGAGGGAAACATATATAAGCAAGACAATTTGAAAGTAACATGTTGAATTTATTGCAGCCTTTTAAGAAAAAAAAGCAAATTGTACATTACAAAGATTTGAAATTTTATATGTTATCTTCTATCTGTTTTATTTTGTACATGGAAATATTCTCTATTTTTGGTGTTCATTAAAGTTAGAATAAAAAATCTAAAATTGATCAAATATGACATGACTGTGAGAGGGAGAAGGAGAATTATTGGAGTATATTGAGAAAGGTATGTGATGTAAAGGCAAAAATGAAAAATAAAATAAATTATACGTGACAAATAAAATACATTTTTGAAAAGCTACTGCTCATTCCCCTCTACTCTGATTTAATTTCCTAGGTTATAGTTTGTTTATTTTCCCCCTACATATCATGTGTTTGACAATCAAGTCAATAGTGATTATTTTTATGAACAATATTAAAGAAAAAGATGAGGGATTAATTCCAGTTTTGCTTTTTAGCTAATAATACCCAAGATTTTTTGCATTTGGCTAAGATAACAGGGCAAGAAGTGAGAAGTGAAATTACACATAAGACTTTCTCACAAAAAAACAACTGAAGGTAGCTCTCACTTGCATTAGAGCTTTGGAAGTGACAGATTCTCATCTAAGACAACAATACAAATAAATCATAACACTGCAATGAATGCTGAGAAAAGGCAAGTAAAACCCAGAAAAAGGCAAGTACTATTCCTGAAAGCTAAATCCTTAACAAGAGTTTAAGGAATTGAGCACTCCATATTCAACTACTAGGCAGTTTGCCCTGGCAGTAACCATATGAATGATCTATGTAAGTTAACCATAAAGCTGCAGAGAACTGAGGATCTCAATTCAAGGAAACATGGAGAACAGGGGTGAAATTTCCAGTGATTTAGAGAGTATGTGTAGAATAGCCAAGTGATAGTTACAAAGCAACAAGATGTAGGCTGGCTACATTACTAGTAGAAGAGGTAAAGTGTTTGGAGAATACCTTGCTACCTCCCAATTAAAAGAAAAATATGAACTATTCCTTGGAGCAAGGGAGAAAGTACATCAAATGGAAAACAAAGAAGGTAAATGATCTAAAGAGGAAGTCACAAAGCCTCATCTCCAACATGAGGTTCAAGGATGGAAAATAAAAAAAAAAATTACTACAAAGAATAAAAAGGAAGAAGGGCTCATAACCCTTTGCAACCATGAAGCAGGTATGAGGCTTTCCAAGATCAACCAATGTTGTAAGGCTCTCCCTTTGACAAATGTATGGCAGATAGACTGGAGAGGAAAAAGACAGAAAAGCAGAGAGACCAATTAAAAGTGTCTTGCAGGTAAGAGCTGAAGAGCTTATACTAGAAGGGGGACCAAGAGAGCAGGAAAGGTAGAATCAACAAGGGTCAAAGAAAAGGACCTTCAGATTGGGAAGCATCAAACAGTAGGGAATCAGATTGAAAACCAAGATAATTCAAGGGCTGGCAGTAGCACCTGGCCTCAACGAATTTATTTTATTTGACCTGGATAAACCATATTCCAACATACTAAAGTGTTTGTAGATAATATGATGAAACAGATAGTTAAAATTAGATAAAACTAAACAAAGCTTTTTTCACATAAAAAAGATGACTACAACTAGGATGAGAAAAGAAGCTGTCAGCTGGGGAAAAGCTATTTGTGCCCACTCTCTGACAAATGTCTGATAGCCAACTTTGGTATGCCTGTGAATTAATTAGTCTAACCCATTCTGGAAAAAAATTGAAATTATGCCTCCCAAAATCAATAAACTGTTAACATTTGACCAAGTGATCTCCCACTACTGAGCACATATAGCAAGGATGTCAATGATGGGTCATATAAAACAACAAAATGTTTAGAATTCTTTGATAGCAAAATCTAGAAGAATAATAGGTACCATTGAATATGGAATGGCTGAACAAATTGTACTAGATGAATGTAATGGAATATTATACCACTGTAAGAAACAAAGAATATGAAGAGGATTTTGGGAAGATGGTGGAGTAGGTCAGAAAACTTTAGGCTCTCCAAATTTCCTCCACTAAAAAAGATAGAATATTGCTTCAGAGTGAACATAGAGCAGCAGAAATAAACAAAAGTCATGGTAAAGTAGTTGTCCTCCTAATACAATGTGAGAAGACCCTCGGAAAGACTTGACCTCTAGAGGTGAAGGTTTGGTCTGAGTGAAGTGCAAACACCTACAGGCCTACTCCACTGAATAAATAAACAACAAGCCCTAGGGGCAGCTGGGCAGGGAGGCATCCTCAGTCTCAAGAACTTTCACCTCACAGACAGATTGAGGGTTGGAGGCTGAGTAGGAGAAGATTAAAGACCCTTCCATTATTGAGGGATGCCAAGCATAGTTGTGCTGACCTGGTGCTGCAGTTGGGGTTCCATTCTGTGCCTATAGTCCTGTGCTGTATCTGCAGGGAAGAAGCTAGAATATACCTGGTGAGTGTAATAGCAGATGGGCAGGGACCCTGCTGACTGTGGGCATTTGCAGGAGAGCAGAGACCTTGGTTTCAACTTCAGGGCAAAAAGGACAGCTGCATTTTGCAGCCACCAGAGGGACAAAACAGAACAAGGGCATTTGTGGGACAGAATGAATGGGGGCTATAGACATGGCTTCTAGGTGTAGAGGAGTTCCCAAGGTTGGTCGCTGGGGACAGAGGTCAGAAAATAACAGTAAGAAGGATCTGAGGACTGGGGCATCATTTCCCACACCTGGGAACTAAAATTTAATATCAATAATAAGCTGCTAAAAATGAAACTAAAAATGAGTAAGCAAAGGAAAAAGAACCCAATCATAAATATCTATTATTGGGGAGAAAGAAGATCTGGGTAAATATTTAGAGGAACATAGTGGAGCTTAAAAAAGTTACTCTTTTTTCAATGAGAAAAGTCAAGTGGTCACAAGCCAAGAAGAGTTGTTAGAAGAACTTTAAAAAAGACTTTAAAAATCAAATGGGAGAGATCAAGGAAAAATTAGAAAAATAAATAAGAGCAATCCAAGAAAATCAAGAAAATTATAAAAAGAAAGTCCACCAACTGGAAATAGAGAATCAAAAACTTAATGAAGAAAATAATGCCTTGAAAACTAGAATTAAGCAAGGGGAAGCTAATGATATTATAAGATGAGGAAATAATAAAAACAAAATCTAAAGAATGAAAAAAGAGAAGAGAATGTGAAACATCTTACCAGAAAAACAAATGATCTGGAAAACAGATTGAGGACAGACAACATAAGAATAGTTAGACAACCTGACAGATACAATCAAAAAAAGAATCTTGGTATGATATTACAAGAAATTATTAAGGAAAATTGCCCTGAATTTCTAGAAAAGGAAGGCAAAGTGGAAATAGAAAAAAATCTACGTGTCGTTACCTGAAAGAGTTCCCAGGAGGAATACTTACAGGAATATCATAACCAAGTTTCAAAGCTCCTAGATTAAGGAGAAATTATTACAAGCAATAAGAAAAAAAAACAATTTAAATAACTACAAGAGCTATAATCAGGATTACACAAGAACTAGTAGCTTCTACACTGAAGGATCCTAGGTCTTAGAACACTATATTCCATAGACCAAAATAACTGGGGTTACAACCAAGGATAATTTACCTAGCAAAGTATAAACCTAAATGGAAAAAAATGGGCATTTAATGAATTGAAAGACTTTCAGGCATTTGTGACAAAAAGAGCAGAACTTAATCAAAAATTGAACGTATAAGATTCAAGACAAAAATAAGGTAAATGTTAAAGACTAATTATAAGGCACTTAATAAGGCTA